GCCACCTTCCCACCCCCTTTCCGCCGCTCATAACCCTCCCCCCCCTCCTCCCGGTATCTACTCCTTCACCAACACATCCTCTGCCGTCTCCCTCTCTTCCAGGCGCCCGACGCGCACGCCGCTGACGTGACGGGCACGTCGTTGTGGTGTAGGGGTCGGCAGTCACGTTCCTAACATCCCTGTCGAGGCTGACTGTTACTTCCGCCGCTTTCCGCCAGCCATCCTTCTGCCGTCTTCTGTCGGATAATTCCGCCGGCTTTCGCCGAAGGCGAAGCTCTTCCTAAAGCGGGTCATACCTGCAATGTCGTTTCAAAAACCACTCCAGTGGTATCCCGTGTTATAGGCCTGGGCAGAAACCAACGTCATTGTCCAAGGCCGTGGGTGTCGTACTTCGTTGTCGGGGTCGTGCTCGTCGTCGTCCGACCCGCTCACTATCCCTGCGCCCCCTCTGGGGTCCATCCTGGCCAGTTCCCCGAAGCGAATCCACCCGTGGCGACAAGAGCCCCCGAAACTTCAGCAACGAAGGTGTCAACGTCGACGTCGATCGGTGCGCTGTCGCCGCCGCCTCGTCCTCGGAAGCGTCCAGAGGCCTGTGAAGTTGTCGGAAGCCCCCATGAAGTCTCTGATGGTCCTTTCGACGGCCCCTGCGGTATCCGATCGGTTCTTGGCACCCTTCCGAAAGACTCCGAAATCCATCGCTGTGGCATTTCTCTGGCATGAAAAGAGCGGGCCCCCACGGACCTGCAGGCTCCCGGGGAACGCCCCACTGGACAAACTGTTGTGTTTTATGTTGGGTCGCGTGTCAATCCCCAGGCACAGGGAAAGCCCGAGAAGCCCCCAAACAACAATATGTTATCCTCCGTGCCCCCCAAACAATAATTGTCTTGCGGTCTACGCGTCGCAGAGACTTGTCCAATCCATTGCTCGCGCAATCATCCCACCCACCCACCCGCAACTTTGTTTGCAAAACCCATGTGGTGGTGATTGCGATGAGTGCATGGAGTTGGCGGGTGGAATTCAGCGGCCGCGCTAGCCCGCGCATTTTCGGGCGCGCAGCGGCCAACTAGTTGGGCGCGACCGTCGCGGCCGCGGGGCGCTGACCGCTGAGCTCTTCTCATCGGGCACTTCAATGCGAGTCGGCGAGTTGGGCGGGCGCGGTATCATGGCAACGTCGACGACGGTAGACGCGATGATGATGGCAGCGATGCTAGTGACGATGGTGGCAACGACGACGGCAAAGCCACCCAGTGACGGCGCCGATGCTGATCACGCCGACGACGATGACGGCGCCCTCGCGTCGGTGATGGACGTTTTGGAAGGAGTTCGCTATGCTCGCGCGGCCGACGCGCGAGTGTGGCCCGCATGGTATGCTTTGATACGGGCCGTACCCACCCCCAGCCCGCGCGCAAAGGCGTCCGAATGATTTCGACGCGCGGAGCGAGGGGCCCGTGCGGCCGAATTTAATGAATTCGATGGAATCAAACAAAAACACAGCAACAAATATTAAGAATTCACAAGAGCGCGAACGCAGGCATTTCTGAATCTGCATAGCCATGTGGTTTTATATGTGTTCAGGGCACTCAGTTTTGACATCACTGCGCAGCGTAAAGGCTTTTGAAAGATTTCGGTATGCGCGCGCGACGATGCGCGCGTATGCACTGCGTCCCGCTCTTCACAAGGAATTATTGAGAACAGACGGTTTTTGATGAGCGAGTGCGCGCGCATATTGTCTTGCAAGGGGGTGCGGTGGGGATATACATACCGGCCTGCCTGGGACGGAATCCATGCATATAAAGGATGGGCGTTGGGCCAGGTTTTCTGCTCTCGCAACCATCCCCATCTCCCAGCTGCAACTTGATTTGCAAAATCCGTCGGCGACGTCGGCGACGCATCCGCGACGTCGGTATGGGGAAACACGGGCTCCACTTCGAGCTGCATCGTTGATGCATCGGCGATGCGGCGCGATCCTCCGACCCCATCTGCTCGGACACATTCTGGGATGCCTAGACCGATACCGCTACTCCCAGGACCTCTCCCTGGGGTGCGTTCTGACCAGCATTTCGAAACAAATCTGGTTGAGCATTATTTGACTAGTCTTGCTGTTTCTTAAAAAATCAGTGTGTAGGAGGACATGCCCTACCTATCTCTTGCCGCCCGCCCTTTGCCCAGAGTAGGAAAGCGGCGTCGCTTCAACATGTTAATACTATGTGTGGGTCGCCCCCCCCCCAGGGGCGATGCGCACGCCGAGAAGACTTCTAGTAGAAGCTCCGTGGCGGGCCCTCTCTGGCCATAACGCTCTAGAGGCGATACATTACAAGGTGCTTGCACTATATGTTCGGGTCGGTCGCACGCAATTTTAGTATGTTCTTCCGCGTCCCAGGAAAAAGGTGCCGATACCGCTACCGCTTCCTTGGAAGACTCTCGCCGTCACCGCTGGTCGAACCATCCTCTCACGAGTATTTTTCTAACTATTCCTGAATCTGCCTCCGGTAGACCTTGGAGGGACGTGCCCGACTCAAGGCAGGAGGGCGGCTCCAGCAGCGATCTGCCGGCGGCCGGGATGGCGTAGTGCCCCTCGCCCCGCAGCCGGGGCTCCACCTCCGCGCGGCGGCGCGGGCGGCCGCCGCCCCGAGGGGTCCGCAGAAGGCATCTACGCACACCAGTATGCCAGCCTACACAGCATCATCATAGGCCCTGGCAGACTTGGTGTTCGAGCCCCCCTGGCCGAGGCCAGGAAGGAATGCTTAGAGGCATCCTAAATTGAGTCCGAGTAGATCGGGTCGAAGGATCGCACCGTTTCGCCAATACATCGCCGATGTATCGGCGATGCATCAGCGATGCTGCGCGATCCTCTTACCCAATCTACTCGGACACCATCTCAGAGGCCTAGAATGTTGAACCATCCCAGGGCTCCGCTGGGCAAATTAGTGGCTAATGGATGTCTTCTGCGGAAGGGGGATCGACCAACGGACCGCCGACGCTCGCTCAGACATGGGGCCCAAGCAGCCACACACACACGGAAAAGGGCAAAACTCTGCGCCAGGCCAGCGCAACAGGGCAGGCCGAGGGAGTCCACGCTCGGGCCCAACCACCCCCTTACGACGGCTCGCCCCTGGCACGGAGGACGCCCACACGCGTCTGGACCCTCCCTACGCCTCCCATGGCCAGACTGCCTCCCTCCTCCAACCCGCGGAAGCGCGCTTGGGTCGGGCGCCCTCAGCGAACGGTCCAGACCGCAAGCCGCGCACCAGCCCCACCCCTCACTATCCGCCCGCCTTCAGGAACTGTGCCGCCGCTAGGTTATGTTATAGCGATGCGTGTATCTGCATAGTTAGATCTAACTCGTGTAAACATAAACAAACATATAGCATGAATGTACGTATGTGTATAAATAGATATGTACACACACCGGCATGTTCATGTACCAACTGGTTTAGATATGTATGTGGATGCATTATCCTGGCGAAGGCTGAGAGGGCCAGGGAGGTCCTCCCACCACTGACGGATACGGTCCGCAGCATCAGCCTTAGGAGGAGGAGGAGGAGGAGGAGGAGGTTGAGAACGAGGGGGAGGAGGAGCAAAAGTAAAAAGCGCAGCGCCACCGCTCATCGAGGACTTGCTGGGTTCCCCCGTCAGGCTCCTTGCCGTGGGCATGGGCCCGGCAGGCAACAAACGTCGATGACGACGAGATCGGGAGGGAGATAGGACGAGGACGGGAGGGAGGGAGGACGAGGACGGGGAGGGAGGGGTTGAGGACGAGGGAGGGAGGGAGGGAGGGGAGGAGGCATAGAAGGAGGAGGAGGAGGAGGAGGAAGAAGGAGGAGGAGGAGGAGGAGGAGGGAGGAGGAGGAGGGGAGGGGAGGAGGGAGGAGGAGGAGGAGGAGGAGGAGGAGGAGGAGGAGGAGGAGGAGGAGGAGGAAGGCGGCCCGCTGCGAGCGCTCGTGCGGACGTCGGGATCCCCGGCCGCCCCCTGCGCTCGGGCACCGCCGAGACCTCTGACCACCGAGGCCCGACGGCGGGGGGCCGCTGCGGCGCTCCCCCGCTGCACGCGGCTCCGCGGCTCGAGCGGAGGAACGAAAGGGGGGGGAGGGGGGGGGGGGGGAGGGGCGGGGGGGGGCAGGGGAGGGGCGGGGGGGAGGGGGCAGGGGAGGGGGAGGGGGGGGAAGGAGGGGGGGGATGTGAGGGCACGGCAGGGGGAGACGGTGGGAGGGAAGGGGTCCGCCGAGCACAAGCGTGGCCCCACGCAGGTGTGACCCCAGCTCCTTCTCCAGGCGGGGCTCTCGCTGGGAACCCCCTTCAGCTCCATGTTTCCGCGTTGTCGAAACTCCTGCCTGATTTTCGGGCCACTGGGGCCCGTCTTTCACGGGGGTGCTTCGCGCAATGAACACGAAGTATGCCTCAAATAATGTGTGAAGAGGGGGCCTGAACAGGAAGAGAACGCCCCAGCAGCGTTCATACACCTTGGGTGTACCCTTGTCCTCCTCCTTCTCCTCCTCCTCGTCCTCCGTGGGCTCGTCAAGGATATTCGAGCCACGGAGGAAGATCGACTCGTGGGGAGTGGGGCTGGTGGGTCGGAGGTGGGAGGGGGACGGAGAGGACGACCGGCTGGCGGCCGCCGCGGCTGATCTGCCCGAAGAGCGGGCCACAGACGCGCCGACGAAATTCATGACAGCTGCTGGTGCCCGCAGGCACCCCGAAGAGGACCCTCCCTCCGTTGCAGGGCCTGCCTCGGGGCCCGACGGGGCGCTCCCCCCCGCGGAGGCCTCTCGAGTATGTTGTGGATATTTTCACGGCGATGTGCTGTCGCGGGGAGCGTGTGTTTTCCTGGCGAGCCTGCTCTTTCAGGCCTCTGCTTGAACACTTGATAGCGTCCCCAGCGGTTCAGACCAAATCAGATCCTCCTCATCCTCCTCCTGCCCTCCGCGGCCGAGCCGAACACTCCCTCACTGCCGCATTCCGGCCTGAAGGTAGTTTGGATCCTCCTGCATCCCGCGGTGGTCCTCCCAGGCCCGCAGGGGGGCAGCGAGGGTCAGGTGGAGGGGACGAGGAGCGATGTTCACGATTCGGGAAGGAGGGAGGAGGGAGGGCAGGAGGGGGATGCGGGAGGAGGGAGGAGGGCGAAGGGAGGAGCCGAACGGGAGAGAGGAGGAGGAGGAGGAGGAGGAGGAGGAGGAGGAGGAGGAGGAGGAGGAGAAGGAGGAGGAGGAGGAGGAGGAGGAGAAGGAGGAGGAGGAGAGAGCAGGGATAAAACGATGTGGAAATGGAGGGAGAGGACGAGGGTAGGGACGACTCGGAGGAGGACGTTCACGACGGCGAGGACGGGGGAGAGGCGGGCACGAGGAAGGGGGACCGGGGGGGTCACGTGGCGGCAAGGGTGCCGCACGGGGCCCTTGCCTGCGAGCAGCACCCCAGCGAGCCACTCCCCCCCCCTCTCTGCAGCCGCTGGGCCCCACGACGGACCCAGGCATGCGACGTCTGGATCTTTTCAACACGGGGCCCCCAGAAGTCTTGACCCCTCCCCTGGGGCAGCCTTCTCAATCGCGAGACTCGTTCTTGGAAGGTCCTGGAGCCCAGCGGGGACCACCCGGCGCTGTGGGAGGTCCCCAGTCTCGATACAAGAAACCCGTGCAGAGCTCAGAACATGTATGGTTATGCTCTTTCTTCTCGCTCAACGACGACGTCATGATGTGCCATGAGGATGTCGCAACGACGTGGAGCCAACAAGTCTGGACCCATTCCCTGGGACCGGCTTTTCATTCCAGGTCGCTTTTGACATCCATGGGGGCCGGTAAGGTCCCCACCGAGGCCGAAAACGGCGAAGAACCAGCCGGCGTGATTAGGGGGCCACATGCGAACCCTACCCCTACCCCCCACGATTTCTGCAGGCGGCCTTCTGTCTCGAATGGAGACAGGCCGCGGCGGCGCGGACAGCGAGTCCTGTTCAAGATGCACAGGAACTGCTATTGGGCATTGTACCCATTCTTTCCGTACCCATTTCGAAAGTCCAGACGAGAGGGTCTGGCAAATGAGAGCTGCCCGGCCTCAACAACGACACATCACCTTTGCTCTTGTGTGCTTTGATCGTGTGGAATCGGACCTAGGCCAGAAGAACATCCCTCAAAAACATGAGACCCTCCGCCGGCCAAAACGCACAGAGCATCCAAGGGTGCCCGCCCCAAGTTGCACAAGAACATCCAACACACACACACACACACACACACACACACACACACACACGCACGCACGCACGCACGCACGCACGCACGCACGCACGCACACACACACACACACACACGCACACACACGCACACACACACACACGAAGAACACTAAGGTACCCTGCCCGAGCCGACCTCGAAATTATGCCTCGGTCCGGCTTTACGGTGTCTTGCTGACCAGGCGTTCCGGTTTGCTTCTGCACACCGCTCTGCAAACAAACGACCTCTGATCATCGTCGCCTGCGGCTTTGGCCACTTGTGCCGTGAGTCTCAGACATCTGGTCGTGCTGTCCTGCCACGGCGCGAGCACGTCCGGTGCCGGGCCACGCGACGGACAAGGCGAGAAGCCGGCCGACGCGCCGTGCGCGCCGGCGAGGCAGCCCGCGACGCGGGCGGCGCCCTGGCGCGGCCGCGGCGTTCGGGCAAGAGCGCGAGCCGCCCCCGGGGGCGGCGGAGCTCGGCCGGCCCTCTGCCGCCATCGCCGCGCAGGGCTGCCGTGGTCGCAGGGCCCGGGCCCGGGCCCCCCGCGCGTCGATAGCGAGCAAAAACAACGACGGGCGCTCTCTCTGTCCCCCGTCGGCCCCTCTGGGAGCCTCCGCAGGGCCCCACGGCCGTCGAGGAACGCCTCGGGACGCAGAGCCCGCCCCCGAAAGGGGTCCCGGGCCTCTGGGGCCCACGCTTCGAGCAAAGCCTCGGGACGTCGGGGCTCTGGGGGCAAGACAGTGTACCTCGAGTCGTCTGGTCGGCCACGACCTTGGTGGGCCCTGGAAACGACAGGGCCGTTTTTGTTACCGGTTCCGTCTTGCCGTTTTTTTGCTGGTTCCGACGCCGTTTTTTTTACTGGTTCCGTCGCCGTTGTTTGACCGGTTCCGGCTCCGGTTCCAATCCTGGAGCCGTTTTTTGGCCGTTTCCGGTCGCCGTTTTTTTCCCGTTTCCATTTTCAAGGGACACTTTCTGGAAACGGTGAAAAAATGGCCCTGCCGTTTCCGGGACCCACAAAGGCCACGACGGCTCGGTGCACTGACGCCCCACCTTCCCAACATGTGGTATGCTGGTGCGCGCCCACGGTCGGGAGCTCCTTGCTCAGCCCGTCGCGGCGGCGGCCCTGACGACACGCTGTGCCCGACGGGCGGGCAGCGCACCGCTCCGCTCCGCGGGCCGGCAGGCTCGGCAACGCTCGGGCCAGGAGCGCTCGGGGGCCGCGACGCGGTTCGCGCGTCGCGCCGCAGCGTGGTGGGCCAGAGCCGGCGGAGCGACGCGGTGAGCCACAAAGTCCCCGACGGCACACACCGGAATCCTTCGCCGCCTTCATCGGCTTCGTGGCTGGTCGATGCGCTGGGCGAGGAGTGTCCTGCCCTGCGCGCTGCTTCGGAGCGCCGCGGGGGAGGCGGCCAGACCCGAGCGCGCAGGCCAGTGCCAGGGGTTGCCCTCGCACAGAGTCGCTCGGGCGGAGGGTCACTCGCACCAGGGGCTACAGGCCTCGGAAGGAATTAGCGAACACTCATGCCACATTCATCTGTCAATGCCCCCCCCAGTGATCAATGTTGGCGGCAGGTTGGATGAGCTGCACTTCGACCGCAGTCTTTCCCGCGCGTCCCAACTTTGACTTTCGAGGGGCGTGAGGGTGCCCACTGATTGCTTCCCTCTGCCGTACAGCGAGATCTGGCTCAGGAAGGTCCGCCCTGCGCGGGAAGAACGAGCGCCCGTGCCCTTGGACCCTGCTGTTCTCGAGGTGCCCGGGCGGGGAAGCGTGCGCGAAACCGACCACGCGCAGCGAACCGCGTAGCGGCCCCGATCTTACGCGTGGCCGATCGGAGGGCGTCGGGCGTTCGCTGCCAGGGGGGGGGGGGAGAATCGGGGAGGGGGGGAAGAAACGTGCTCCCTGCGGGCACCTCCTGGGCCCGCGGTGGCAGTCCAGGGGCCGTTCAGGCCCCTCGAGGTCTCGGGGCCGCTTTCTTATGACCCTCGTCCCCCCTCCGCTTGCTGCCCCACCCGCTTCTCCTTCCTTCGGCCTCCGACTGTCAAATCTGCGCGGCCAGGCGCCCCAGCAGCGCACGGGCGGGAAGAACACTTCGAGCGAGGCACGGAGCACGGGCACGCCAAAGGCGTGCGGGCGCGAGGAGGACGACAGCGACGAGGAGAGGAGGAAGCGACAGACTGTCGGCTGCATGCAAGACTTCCCCCTGGGCGTGAGTGGCACCTGGTGCGCGGCCGATCGTGGCGCACGACGCGGCAGCGGCTGCCTGCGTGCTTGGGTTCGGCGTCCCCCGACCCCGTTTGGGTGCCTTCGCAGAGGAGCCCAGGGGCTCCTCAGATGATTTCCTTGCAGGCCGCCTGCTCTCGAAGGCGCCCGCCTTCTCAGTAGAGAGCCGCCACCCTCGCGCCCCCTCCCCTTCCCCCAAGAGGAGGAGGAGGAGGAGGAGGAGGAGGAGAAGGAGGAGGAGGGGGAGGAGGAGGACGAGGAGGACGAGGAGGACGAGGAGGAGGAGGAGGAGGAGGAGGAGGAGGAGGAGGAGGAGGAGGAGGAGGAGAAGGGGGGTCGGGGTCACCCTGGCGAAGGGTCACGAGCGGGGTGGGGTGTCACCCCGTCGAAGGGTCACTCTGGCGGCCACTCTCACGTGCAGCCAGAACTGGCCTGGCCAGGGCCCCCTGTACAATGCAAACTGGATGGTAAGGAGGAACAACTTTCCAAGGTTAATGCGGGATGGCGATTAATAAAACAAATGGGAGATATCGATTCAAACATAGGTGTCTGCCATTTCTGCATAATTTTCTGACTGGACGAGAACGGTTTTAAAAGAAAATGCTCTAGCCCGCGGCCGGTTTGTTCTAATCGTCATCCCGGGCGCTGCCGCGAGAACACAACCCCTGGTCATTTATTAACCGTCATCCTCCATTACCTTTGCATCCTTCCCCTTCGGCCCATCCTTGGCCGCTTTTGCTGGCCGCGCCCCGCTCGCAGAGTATCGACGTGGCCTTCCAAGGCCCTTGCATCCCTACCGCACATCCAAATTATACAAATATGATACGGGTTGACTGGACTGTGAACACGGAAGCGACCAGCGAAACCTATGTGTTCCAGACGGCGGCACATATGACACTGACCTGCAACATTCTTATAGGAAACCCGGGCACAAACTCTAAAAGCCTGCAAAACCCCCGATGGACCCGGACAAGGGCCCGAACCCTGCAGCACAGCAACAGACACAACACATTGGACGTTCAAATGTGACATTGTGGAACAGGGTGTCGTTCCCCCGACTTGACAATGTCCTGGTCAGTCTTTGCCCTGGTCTCCGCGGGCCTGAATGGGCTACACGCAAGACAGGCCCTGGGCAAGAGTGACCTCTGGTGCGCGGACCGATGGGGCGCAAGGTGGCCAAATCCACGCGCGCAGTCGGCTGCTAAATCATCGCGCTCGGCCATCGGGGGGACCCCCATGAGCCCACACCAGAGGACACTCCGGCGAAGGGCCACTCTTGCGTGCAGTCGACTGGGCCCTCCTCCTCCTCCTCCTCCTCCTCCTCCTCCTCCTCCTCCTCCTCCTCTCCTCCTCCTCCTCCTCCTCCGCCTCCTCCCTCCTCCTCCTCCTCCTCCTCCCTCCTCCCTCCTCCTCCTCCTCCTCCGCCTCCTCCTCCTCCTCCTCCTCCTACCTCCTCTCCTCCCCCTCCTCCTCCTCCTCCTCCTCCTCCTCCTCTCCTCCTCCTCCTCCTCCTCCTCCTCCTCCTCTCCTCAGCTCCTCCCCTCCTCCTCCTCCTCCTCCTCCTCCCCTCCTCCTCTCC